AACCTCTGCAGTTAGGCTTACGATGTAGCCAATTCGCAAACCACCCACCTGACTTTTCAAAATGTTCAACAACATAACTTTAATTTGGCTTCTTCGAAATCCAGTTTCTCTTCGTATAAAAGCTCAAGTAAATTATCATTACTTCAAATTAGCTTGCTGCAAATAGTTTCTTAGATCTTCTCTACAATATTTTTTACTTTAAAAAATAAATGGTTTCTGATTTAGTAAAGCTGAAGACAATATCATATATTTATATTTGAGTCTATTTTTGCTATTATATCGTCTTATCAGCCGATTATGCTAAGAATACTCGACTAATATAACGTTGATTTTTGTCTATTTGTTTTACTTATAAAGTTTGATGAAATATCCTCCTGTTAATTCCCTTTCCTTGGCATAAAATTTATATGTATACACGAAAAATATCATAATACTAATATTCTCCGTCTATTTACGCAGTCCAGCTTAGTATGTTGTCACTTTCGACAAAGATAAATTAGATCTATTCACAATTAAAACGTTTACTTTATTCTTTTCTAGGAGGTGTCATCATCCTCGCTATTAACTCGATAATTTATTTGAAGCAGACTATGCCCTGTTGCTCGCTTCCATTAAACTGTTACGCCAAAGCAACGACCAGCTTTCCCATGCGTAAGTCCCATTTTTTGTATACTGAAATACTTTTTTCGATCTCTAGATTTAATTGCACAATAAAGAAGCCTTTTGTTTGATCCTTCCCTAGCATAAGTTCTGATAAACTACCTAATACCTTTACCTTCACTCCATTTTTATATTGGTTATTAAACCGAGTTTTGACATAAATGAGTTTGTTGTGATTCAGTCCTTTTTTCTAATTCCATTATGCGACGCCAAACTAATCTCCATACTGCATATTTTCCTTGACTTTAACCGCCAACAGACAGGACCAGATCGAATTTACTATTTCATGCAGTAGGATTTTTTACCTTCAGGTTTCTCTTATTATACTGCCCACTCATGGTTCAAACCCTCCTCATTCCAAATGCACAAGCTTTTCCTTTCTCCCTTTCTCTTTAATAGTCACATTATCGTCAGTTAGACCCGAGTTTGATACTGGATTCTTCAGATTGCTCTTTCACAATAACTAAAATCAATCTTTTATCACCAATCGGAAGCCGACCTTCACATCCCGCAAAGCCTTTAATCAAAATAACTCCAAGCTGGATAGATTACTTTGTCTGCCCTCATTGGCGTCTTGCCTAAGCAGATCACTCATATAAAGTCTCGATGTTCGGCCCTCTTCCATTAAAACTTCTTAACACTTATAGAGCCAGCTTACACAAACAGCTTTATCTCAGGGTGATGGTCATCAAGCGTCACTTCTAATATGTGTCTCTCCCGTACATCGTTTCTGTCCCCTTCGCCTCTACATCAAAGCAAAGTCGGTTGGACCTCTGTATAAGGAGGATCGCTCTCACCTAACCTCGAGACTAAGATATATTCCTCCAATAGCTGTGTCGTTGAGCCTGCATTTACAGGCCTTGTGTGCCATTGAGCCTCGATGCAGCGTCTCATCAGTGTGACTAGTACGTGGCTACACTACGCAGCATATCGTTCTGCGCCGTATATATATATATATATATACAGTATTCTGTCTTATATTAATAAAATTGTTGGCAAAGCATTTAGAAATGCAAAGCATAATATGTAAGAATCAATTTGAGATTTTATTGAAGGTATTTGATGAAGAGATTCGATTATTTTCGTCATAAGACGGATGAAAGCTTAGCTCGCTTTCTCCGGAATTGAACTAGATTGCCTCGGAAATAGCGTCAAGATTTTTTTCCTACCTCATTTAAATCCACTGATTTGTAATGATAGTTCACATTTTTTATATACTTAATTCTTGTTAAAATACAGGATATTCTAAAAGTATCAATATGTGCAAATATTGATTCAGCCAAGAATGATCGATTCTCTATTGTTAAGCTTTCATAAGGGCGTTTTGATAATCAGATTGTCAACTAAGTATACCGTAGCTATCTTGATAATACCTTTTCAGTCTGTGATAGTATTAGTATTATTGGCATTATTGCAATTCCTATAAATTTTTCTGTCTAGTAGCTTGCCCAAACGTAGCACCTAAGGCGACTCTCTTGAGCTGTATAGCGTTTTCATTGTCTACACCTCTTCTTGATCAAAGAGAACCCCTGATAAATAATTATTAGCAGTTTTTGATGAGGGTGGTGCTAAGAATGGCAAGACTTACCGACGATGCCTACGAAACATCTGGGAATGTACCAAGTCCGCGATCTGACTGGCAATTATCATGCATACTATGGACCCTGGACAAAAGGCCTTCCTCTAGGTCTTCCTATCGATATGACCAATTTGTGAAAACAGGATCAAACAACCTCTATACAATGAAAATAGACTGCGGCCATACAAAAGGCCACACCATCCTGGTCTTCATATATTCTATCTTGTTAATTAATGGTAGATGGTGTTGATACTCTTATTTTATTTTCAGGCCTAGACACTCCTTTCAATATGTGCTCGGTGCGCCTAGATCCGATGAATTATGCAAATGAATCTCCATTTTTCCCCATTGCCATAGTTTGCCAGCAATCTCCTAATCGTTTTGGTCTCTAAATTTTACTTCTATGTCGTTTTTTCCTCGTATATATGTTGTTTCTCTTGTTCTGATTTCGTCTTTATTACTCACTTCTTACCACAAGAGAATCTACTTCATTTCCATATCCAATTTTCGCAGGTCAAGAAGTTCCGCTCTGTGGCCCACTTTCTTTAGATAGTTGTCGAGCGCTTATTATCTCGGATTCCCAGTTCCTGGTAGTTACCAAACATGGAGTCATCTACATAATTACGCTTTGGCTGGAGAAGGCTACACAAGCAGTGACCAGCCTACTGTTTCATAAAGCCGGCGAAGCTGTTCCTGCGAGAACGGTAGGACATCTTATTTCGCATCCCACATAGCGATACCATATTAGGTTATTTTACACCATATTCCTTTTTGATAGTTATCTTTGTATCATTTAACCTATGATTAACGACTAATAATCTGAGGATTAACGTGGCATTTTTTTTAACTCTATCATATTTACCGGGAAACTACAAAAAATGAACCTTATAATGCTTCTTCTGCCATTGTAACCATCTGCTCCTTCAGCATCAGACTGATATTCATATACTTGGCCAGTAGTAGGCTTTATGAACGAGGGAGTCATGCTTAAAAATTAGCGACACAATTAACCTTAGGCAAGAGCAGCTAATGCTCTGGGCTAAAATTAAAACAAGGCTTTTTCATTTCTATTTCGATCAGGATTTTTGCTATTGCTCACATTCAGATATGAATACTTTAACTGTAACAAATGAATTGGGCTTAATAAGTTCTTTGTATCTACTTTCGTTTAAGCAGAGCTGGTATCTAATGTAATCATACTCCTTCAATCAGTTATTTTCACATCAACCTTTTGCTTAACTTTCTTATAGCTTTTTCCATAGTTATGGCACATCATTTTTTTGAACTATGGGAAATTCAAATGTAGTATTTTTGGTAACTTTTATCTAACTATAAGTTTAATTGTATGTTGATTGTGTCATTTTTTTGTAGAACTCTTCGCTTTTGAGCAAGCTTCAGCTTCCACCAGAACAATATAAGTATTATGGTCAAAATATTCTGGTAAAACAGGTTTCGACCGCGTAAAGTGGTGACACGTTACTTTTGGTTCCAGTTAGTCACATAACAAACATGATTTTCTATGCAAGCCAGGCCTTTATCACATTTCTATTAGCTGGTGCAATCGACTACGTCATTATTATTCACTAATAGTTGGTTTCGATTTCATCATTAGATCTGAAATGGGCACTGAAATTGTAACGAGTCGCAACTTTACGAGCATGAGCTGGATTCTATTCCCGTTTAGGGGTGTTGATTAGACTTAGGTTAAATCGAAACTGCAGTTAATTCTGGATACGACAAGACCATGTGGAATTGAATGGCATTGTGATTCCTACTCATATTGTGGGAAATTGAACTATCAATCCTTTATCACCTTATGCGATCTAGGTTTAATTCAGTCATTGTAGAGATTTTTACTTATATAATGGCTTTTCTAGTAGGCAGATTTGCAGATTCCTATATAAATGGTAATGATAACCTAAAATGGCCTGCGAAGTATTATGGACCCAGAAGTGATGTTACTATAACTGAGCATTAAATTGAATCTTCCCAAACTCAATTTTTTCTAGTTATACGGAATACCGAGTCATGCTCATTATTTAGGAATCGTCTGGAGCTTACAGAATGTCCAGCATCTGAAATTTGAGGGGCTGTTGGAAGCTGAGTAAGAGTGAAACTCGGAGGACTATCTTACTCGACTCGATGACCTCCAAAAATTGAGCTCACTCTTCTGTTTCTATGATCTAAATTACCTTATACTACGAATCAAAGGGCTTATAAATATTCAGTTACGGTTTATATTTTTTTAATTCCCAACAGCTGTGTTTGATCGAACCGGATCACATCTTCCTCGGCTCCAGGCTTTCTAATTCCCTTCTTCTCCGTTTCACTTCGTCTCTTGTTCAAATGGATTCGAATGGGTTACTGCAATCACAAAGCCAATTGATGACAGGTAGTGAGTCTACGCTTCCTGCATATGATGCTGACGAACACTCTTTAGTCAAGCGAAAACGCCTATCTTCTTCATCTGAGCTTGCAGGTCCTATGACTTCTAGCCATCTTCCCGAAGCCATAACCACTCAATCTAATTTGGACAGAAATTTTGACAATGCTCAGGAAACTTCTGTGAAAGACTCGCTATTGCAAAACATGGAGAATCATCATAAGGTTGTGAAAGATATAGTGTTAGACGAATATGGAGAGTCTTCATCAGAAACGCATCCCCAGCACGCCTTTGATGAGACTGGAATGTGCGATGTTGAGTTAGATGTCCGGCAGCCGGGTCAGACATGTACCTTAGCTGATTTCGATGAAATTGATTTAGATCTATACGGAGACTCTGTGATTCAGCTCTCTTCTGTTTACAGGCCAGTGAATACGTATTCGTTTAAGGTACCTTAGTTTCATCGAGTTACACAACTGAAATGTTTTTAATTTTCTAATTTTTGGCTGATATGATGAAATAGGACTTTCATGTGAGAAACATTTCAAGAGATTTAATTGACGGCGGACACAGCCTGCTTAAATTAATTTACTTGTTATTATGAAAAATTATAGGATATTGAAACCAACTGATTATGCAAGAAATGTCGATGAGGCAAATGATGTGGAGTTAAGTAAGATAAATTTTCCTTGCTAAGGATTTCGCCAGACCACAGTCGCATCTTTTATGATATATAGCTAATCCTACAGATAATGAAGATCAATCACATACCCCCTGAATCCATAGACTGATTTTGTCATTCTCTATAGCCACATTTTCCTC